GGGCACCGCTCCGGCCCCGGGCTCCCGGCCCCCGAGCTGCGCTGCTTCCCGGGCGCTGAGGTGCACAGGAGCACGCTAGATGTGTACATATATATATTATATTTTATACGTGTATTTATACCTGTGTGACTTTTCTATGTATGTTACGTATTTCTCCATATATATGTTATATTTATACAGTTATATATTTTTATATATTTACATACGCGTGTATATAAATATATAATGCTTTTAAAACCGTGGAAAGATGAGGAGCTACCACGGACTAGCCCCCTTTCCCGACACACGGTCCAGCGGCTGCCACTTCGTCCGTTTCTGTTATCCCCCCGCAGCGAGAACTGGAAATCCTGCCTGTTTCCTTCTCCCTTACACCAGGCGTTGCAAAGCAATCTCCTCGCCATTAAGTACTCGGGAATTGTCCCTTCCAGCCTTACGCGCTTTCTGCGCGCTGACTCCCGCCGCGGTCTCTCCCGGCACGGCGTTTGTTTCTCTCTCCCTCGTTGCGTGCAGCCTGTCAAAGTTTCCCGAGCCGGGCCTGACCTCTTTAGCCCCTGCGATCTCTCCCGACCCCGTCCCCACCGCCTTAGGGACACGCGGTCCGGAGGTGACAGGTCACTTCTTAAACCCTTCTGCTGTTCCAGCCGCGCTGCTGGGTCTGCGCTGAATTGCATTTCGCTTTCGGTGAGGTCCCTTAAAAAAAAAAAAAAAATCAATTGCTTTTAAAAAAATAAAAAGCCCCAAAAGTACCTTCAGGAGAAGGTGAAAACCGTACCCCGGCAGTGGTAGGCTGTCTGCCTCCCCAGCGCCCGGAGCCTTCCTTGGCGGCTGTACACCTGTATTAGCGGATCGATCCACTCTCCTCCGCGCATCCCCGGCTTGCCTGATATAAATTAAATGCTCTGCTTTATTTAAGTTAATGACTTTACAGATGCGAACTATTGAGCTGGACAGTCGCAGGTTTTGCTTCTGTAACCTAATATTGCAAGAAGAAAGTTTAGTGCTATTACAGCTCCTCTTTTTGGGGGACAACCGTTCCGATTTGGCTTTCAGCCGCTTCCTTTCCTTTGCGATAACCCCGAATTAGTTTGGTTTCTAACGCGCTGGGAGAGGGGCCGGGAGGAAAGCAGCCCGCCCGTGTCATTCCCTGCGCAGCTCCCGTTTGCGATTTTCACGTACCCTCCAGGAGGCTGGAAAAGCGTGAAAAGCGGCGCGTGCTCCTACCCAGACCCCCTCCTCTAACACTGCCCTAAACCCCAGACTTCGACAAGGCCTAATCTTCTCCCGGTGCATTTTCTTTTTCTCCGAAATTCCTCCTCTTTCTCTATTAAAATCGTCGGTTCGTGAGATCTGCGAAATAGCTTTGTAAAGGGCTTCAGTAGCTAGGGAGTTCAGGCCCGGTGATTTCGGCGGGGTTTGGGGCGAAAAGTGGTGATGATGAGGGAAGGGCAGGTCCTTCGGCCTCGATCGTCTTCCTGATTCCCCACCTCCCCGGCTCCCGGCCTTCTCGGAGCCGCTGTGACAGCGGGAGGCAATGACCGGTTCCCCCGCAAGAAGCCCGTGTGTCCGTGGAGCGCTTTGACGTTAGGAGTAACTCCTCGATTTATTATTATTAATATTACGGGTGGGATGAACTGGGGAAAGAGCTGTAAAAGATTTTGAGCGACACAGAGAGCGAACCGTCTCCAAGTGATTATTTTTGTCCCACATTGGCTAGAAAACTGAGGATAAACAGAAAAAAAACAGCGAAACAAATCACTGCAGCGAGTGTTTGAGGACTGGCACGGGATAAACGTAATTACAGGGTCTGCGGTGCCGAGGGTCCCTGCTTCTTATCAGAGTTTGGCAGTCACTTGGGGATGGTGAGGGAAGAAACGCGTGAACGTTTGGGTGCATTCCGGGCGAAATATTTGCCCGGGATTTAGTTTTAAAGTACGTTTTTGCGGTTTCCCCCGAGCGTAGCGAGAGTCGGGACGGGTGGGGCTGCCCCGGGCGCCGGGGAAGGCGCTGGGACGGGGGGCGATCCCCGGAGCGACGGTCGCCCTTGCAGACCCCGTCCCTCCTGGAAAGAGCCCCCTTTTAGCTGGGTCTTTGGAGAGCTTCACTTTGAGAGAAGAAACAGGCTGCGTTTAAAAAGAGAGTGTGGGATAAAGGGGTGACCGGTAGTGAATTTAGTGTCGATTTAGTGTAGTTTTCATGTAGTGCAGTTTTAGGAGTGAACCAAATGTCACGGTGAGCACCTTAATTATTGAAATGCCCCGTGTGATCATAAGACGGTATTTGACAAGTTGTTTTCTAAGAGGACTTTATTTTTCGCGTTCAGTATCTAGAAGAAGAGTAAGAAGAGAAACTTAACTTTTTCTGCTGTAGCTGTTTTCTCCCTCCCCTTTCTGAACTTTTGAACACTCTCCTCGTGGGATTTTTTTAATTGCATGATATTCACTTAAACAGCTTCGTGGTCTAGTTTATTTAAAAAAAATAGAAAAGGGAAGTGAAAGGGGTTCAGAAAACACGACGTGCAAATCCTGACAAGCATTTCAACCAGACGCTACAGCGTGTACAAAATTTAGCAGCCTCTTAAGAACAGCCTGTGTGTCATTTTCTGTGTCAAGCTGGGGAGCCAGAGTGGCTTGTTGTATACCTTGGGAGTGATCCGAAACACAGCCAAACTGCTAAGCTTTTCAAGTCAGCCAAACGCTTTTTAATTCTTCTTTAGATTGCAAAATTATTAGTGAAATGCAAAATGCACCTAGAGACAAGTCAGCGATGTGCCATCCCGGGCACATGTGCCTAACCTGGTTGCAGTTATAAAGCAAGCACAAAAGGTAGTAGATTTCCTGACTTGTATTGGCTACAGATGCTGCAGCTATGTTTTTCTTTTTAATTGGCAAATGTCATAAAAGCTAAATGTTGAATGAAAAGTGCACTGCTTTCTTCTTTTTCTGATACTCTTTGAAAAACAGAAAATACTTCTTGAGAAGAAAAGTTGTTAAGCAGAGGTAAAACTTGCTCTTGATTTCAAGCGGGGAAGAAATAGCAAGAAAAATGCCCAGTTATCAAAACCACAAAAATTACCAGACCTACTTCTTCAGCTCTCAGAAAAAAAATAGGGTTGACTTGTTGCTCTTGGTGGAGAAATCCTGGAGCGGGGCTGGGCTGGGCTTGTCTCTTGCACCACTGTCCTTTTGTGAATCTCCTGCTTTTGCGTATGTGTTTGTCTTGTGCTTTGTTGGAGTTACTCCTCCAGTTCCGCAGCTACCAAGACAGCTGTTCTGTGTGCTCTAGACCCCTATGATGTGAATCCTAAAGCGATCTGCTGTGTGTGTATCTGTGAATCCTTTGTGCCCTGTTTGCCTACAAGCTGTCCTTTTGAAATCACTGAGCATAAATTTCACTTCCCAGGACATCTGCTGAAGTCCTGTGAACATAACTTTGGCCAGGAAGAGATCTCCAGAGCCGCTTGCCAAAGGATCCCCTGTTTTGAGGGTATCACCTAGTGGGACTTTCCCTTCAGATACCGCCCCCCTTCCTGCCCCAGCCCTCAACCGCAGCACGTCTCTCCAGAGCACCCAGGTCTCCCTGCTTTTGTGATAACCGGCCTTTCCCTTCCTTGCAGGACACCTGAGCCCCACTGCCTGCACCCTGAGGAAGCACAAGACGAATAGGAAGCCTCGAACCCCGTTCACCACCTCCCAGCTGCTGGCTCTGGAGCGCAAGTTCCGCCAGAAGCAGTATCTGTCCATCGCCGAGAGAGCCGAGTTCTCCAGCTCCCTCAACCTCACAGAGACCCAGGTCAAAATCTGGTTCCAGAATCGGAGGGCCAAGGCCAAGAGACTGCAGGAGGCTGAGCTAGAGAAGCTCAAAATGGCAGCAAAGCCCATGTTGCCATCGGGGTTCAGCCTCCCTTTCCCCATCAACTCTCCCATCCAGGCTGCCTCACTGTATGGAACATCCTACCCTTTTCACAGACCTGTGCTTCCTATCCCGCCCGTTGGACTCTATGCTACTCCCGTTGGATATAGCATGTACCACTTATCCTAAGAAGATCAGAAAGACAAAGCGACAGTGAGACAGACTTCCTGGTGGATCATGTCCAACCCTGAGAAGGCAGTACCCCAACCAGTACTGGCCGTTCTTTCTGCACGCTTCTATCTGCCATCCTGAGTGTACAGGAGTTTGTGTTAGCAAAGCAAGGCATCCTGTATGCTACGGGTTGGGTGTCTTCTGAGAGTGCTCTGAGTGCTGAGTCTGATCCTCAAAGAAAAAAATTATGTAAAAACAGACAAAAAAGAAAAAACATTTGAGCGAATGTAGGGTTTTTATGCAGTGCACGTAAAACCAGAATAAAAAGGAACGGGTGAAAAAGCAATCTCATCCTATGGAGGCAGAGATTTCCCAACACCTTCCTGATGGGGCCCAACATATGTTTAAAGTAAGAGGGGTGCATGCCCTAAACCCACACTCTCAAGTGTCATCACTTAATATGGGGGCAGGGGGGAGGGAAATAAAAAGGTATAATCAAGGTTTTGTTGCTCGTATTTTTGGTTTTGTTTTTGGTTTGTTTTTTTTTTTTTTTTTTAAAGAAAGCAGAGCCCTTAGCTAGAGACACCGTGTAAATAGAAACTAGACCCAATAGAGTCCGAGTGAAGTTCAGAGCCAGCAAGTTCCTGCATTTCTGGGGGTAGGGAGAATTTTTGCATCCCAAACCTCAACAGATCTTTGCAACAAGATGAGCATCAGGGCCCTTAAATGTAGAGCGACAGCTTTATCCACCACTGGCTCCTGTAATGCCCTTATCTGTATAAATAGCTTCAGCATTTGTTAAGCACTGTGAGGGGAGGTAAAGTGTAAGGGAGGGTTATTAGGCAGTCTGGTCTTTATCTCTTCCTGTTGGCATGCTTAGAAATTTTTGGCTACGGCCAGGTAATCTTGGCTCTGCAATGCTGTTTGGAAACCAGGAGAGAGGGAAGGAAGCTTTCTGGGGAAAGAAGACGTGGGTTGTTTCCACAGTGGTGATTGTCGAACACTTCTGGGAGATGTTTGGGGGTTTTTATTAGTATTTGCAACAGCCTGTATTAAATAGAAGAAGTCCTCCTCTCCTTCCCTTGCCAAGGATGCCAATGTAAGTGACTCATGCTTCAAACCCTTCTTAAGAGAGAGATCCAGGTATCACAAACAAACAACCCTACTAGTAGGACGGTGGGGTGCCAAGAGACTACGTAACCTGTCTGTCCCCGTGGAAGCTCCCTGAGCGCCGGCAGTATCTTCCCCAGGCTTCTCCTTATAACTATTGTATTATGTGTATTACTCTTGCTGAACTTTGTGAGGAAGTTACTCCAAAGGCTGTGGAGCACTGAAGGCAGAGCTTCTCCTGGATTTATTTTCTTAGCATGTTGTTGTGGAAGAAAGAAAGAAACAAACAAAAAAAAGCAGAAAAACGAAAAAAAGAAAAAAAAAGCCACGAGGTTTTGCTGGTTTTGGTTTGTTTTGACCCAGGCACTGTTGCCGCCTGGGACCCACTATAGATGAACTTCTCCCCCTTCCCCTCATCCCCAATCTTCCATTATAGGAAAGTCCCTTTGAAAGGGATGCCTTGTACAATTTTATATATTTTATTGAAGATTTATTATTTCTTATCTCTTATTTCGAATTAAATTAAAAAAGAAAAAACATGTTTAATCGCGTGTGGGTCTGTGAATGTTTGGAGTTCTTTAAAAGGTAACTTCTCTCCGTGTGTGTTTTGCACCGCTGGGTCAAGTTCAAAGGAATGTTTGGGTTGCCTTTATGATTACTTCCCCTTTCTGAATCTGAATTAAAGCCAAATTTGCAGCACATGAAGGTGAATTGCAAGTCAACAATTCAAAGTCGAAAGCCAAACCTTTTATGAGGTCTCCTTGTTTTTAACAACCGCTTTTAGGCGCCTCTGTTCTTTACAACATCATGCTCTGGTGATGTTTCCATCACTTTGCTTAGCTCGTGTGCCCTTCTCTTTTGCTCAGGACTCTCCCTCCGACTCGCCTTTCCGCTGACCTCAAATCTGTGCTTTATTGGGAGACTAGTCTCGACCCCCGCAGTAGTTGGGGGTAATTTTGTACAGGTAAGACCTGGCGGGGACCCTGCGATACTTCAGTACAGCTGCATTTCAGGGCTCCCATGCGCTGTCAGCCCGTCCCGTAGTTTTCGGGGCAGCCTCCCTCAAGGGATGCGCTCATGTGCTGCCCGGAGAGCAGACGCGGGACCACCCGCCCCTGGCCTTTCTGGCAAGGGGGGCCCGGGTTTGCTCAGATAAGAGGGGTACCCCGGGAGGTCAGGGGTAGTTTACCAAGCCGCACCGAAGTCCCATGCTGGCCCAAAGCATATTTTGTCGTAAGAGGCTTATTCGGATTAGGAGTGACCTCTGGGATCCCGGCGGGAGAGAAAGGTGTGTTTGCCTCTGTTGAAACAGCCGGGCGGTGGAACTCGGCTACGCTCTCAGACGCGCAGAGGAGAAAGAGCTTCCCCGTCCCGCAGCGCTCGTCCCAGCCTCGCAGCTCTCCCGAAGGCGGGTCGCTCTCCCTGCACACGCCGGTGGGCAGCACCTCGGCAGCGCTTCCCGGCGGGCAGAGCCCAGGGGGGCGCCGCCCCCCC